CATTATAAGAAAATGGATTGATCACATGTAGAAACATATATTTAGGAATTGAAATGTTAATAAAATTTTGGTGTTAGTGAAAATTACCAAAAAAATACTTCTTGCCGTTTTCTGATTATGATTCACACGTTGGTGTATAAATTAATGAATTATAAATTATATTACTATGATCATATCATCATGCACGTTCCTCTAAAAATTTAACAAAATTTCATGTTGTGCTCCATCCTATTTCAAATTGTTTATAGCTGTCTATCCTTATAGATATTTTTGGGAATCCAATTCCGTTTAGTTGAAACTTTTTTGAATATGAATTATTTTCCTCTAAAGCTATTTTTGTATTAAAGTCCTAATTTGATTTGTCTTTATACCATTACGATAAATTTCTCATAGCTAGGAAAACTAAATTAGATACACTCATACTCATTAATCATACGGAATTTATTAATTGAAATATTAGAATAATTTTTTTTTACAGAACACAACAATTAGCTCAATAATAAAATGTTGCAATACAATTGAAAGAAGATATGATAGAATTTATAATAAGATAAATTAATTGCGATCAAAATACCACTTCATAATACAGTTTTCGATGTTGAATGATGTCTCAAAGAACAAATCTACTTTTTATTCGAACTAGTCATTAAGAATACTATGAAAATTCAACATCATAATTAGGCCACTATAAATTCAAATTTTAGTCAAATTCAAATAATTTTTGTAAAAGGTTGATTTTTTTTAATAAATTTTAATTGAATTGGGATCTCTATCAATTTAGATAAAATGTGACATGAGAATAAAAATTACAAGAAGTTTAAGCTAAATAACTTCACTTACCTAATTTTTATTTAATAAAAACTTATAAAATATTTATAAATAAGAATGGGCCATTCTGGTTTACAACCTTGATAGAATTGCTTGCCAATTTTAGCCCATTAAGGAATAATTCAATCTACTCAGACTTAAGTTATACATAATATTCAAAATGAATCTGAGATTACTCACACGACGATTCGATTACCAATCTTTTAAATAAATGATACTATACATACATTCCATGGTTGAATTTCAATCATCTGATATATGTTTAGCTCTCAGACAATTTAAAATATAGTGTATAAAAATTGCTTGCAACTCAAAAATAATTAAATAGTAAAGAATTTGCTACCATAAGAATCTACACAATAAAAAAATGCTTTATTAAGATGTTCTTTTTCATTTATTTGCTGTATTTATTATTTTAATAAGGCAAAAATTTACACTAAATTAGTGGCCGTTATTGATTAATAATTATTTAGTGAACTTAAAAAAAAATTGTACTTCTAGAATATCTTAAATGTTTGATTCTAATAGAAACCCTATTTATATCAACAAAAAAATTTAAGTTTTGCTTTACAACTGTGTATTGGCTTTAGATTGAAATAATTAGAATATTTTGATTTTTTCTTACCAAACTTCGCTAGTTTTCTGTAAATAAAGCTATGTTAAGAAATCTTTTATCATTTAGCAGCAAATCTATAAGAATAATATTCCCTAACACTTCTTTTTTACAATATAGGCTTTATTATTCTTTTAAAACTATCGCAAGAAACTCCTTTGTTTTCTTCATTAAACCCTTTGTAAATTCTAATGAGATTTTAAAATTATATTATAAATAATCTTTGAGATTCAAATACTAAAGGCTTTTTAGATTGTATCAATAAACAATTACTTATAGAATGACTTATATCAATTAATTGAAGAACACAAAATTATTTAAAAAAATAATATTTAATAGAAGACTTAGAGCAAATTTCTGGAAGGAAAAATTGTTTGTTAAGATTATAATTGCATGAGTAATTTATACATAATAGTCTTAATAAGAAGGATATTTAGACAAATTGCTTTCAAAGAGGATTTGATTATTATATGAAAATCATATATATTTAATACTTCACTTGTATGTGTAATCTCAGTTTTAATAATATTAAGTATTTTTTCATATATCCTCTTATATAAAAATATTAGTCGTAATAGGTCCCTTTTTAGTTTCTTAATTTAGTTTTTTTTTTCTTTAATTTAAACATTTTTTGATATCCAAAAGTAAAGATTTGAAGCATGTAATTAATGGATATACTAAACCTACTACTAGAACTGTAATTTAAACAAATCCAATTGTAATTTGTGTGTTTGGACTAAAGTATGTTGAAAAATCTTAGCAATATGCTATTCCCAATAAAGTAAAAGTAATTAATGAAAGTTCAGTTGAGATAATTATAAAGAATTCTGAGTTTTAATTACCTTTCTTCATCAATAGTGCAAAACTTACATAAATTGACATTATAATTGAGAGTATACAAGTTTATAATAAAGGATATTATTGCATTTCTATTAAAACAACTAAAAATAATAGCTTTTTAATAAGCAAAATTGATATTTGTAGTTCATTCTACCTTTACGAATACTTATTAACTTTTGAAACTGCCTATATTAAAAATGATATTATTATGACTAGGTAAAACAGGCAAATTACTTTTGATATATAAGTTCTGTAGTCTGATTAATTGTCGTAATTTGAACTGATATATAGTAAAACCTTAAATAATAAATCCCAACTATTAGCTAAAAATATCACTAAGAATCCTTCTTTCGTATGCTTTTTAAATTAATTCAATAATTTTCTATTTAAGTTATAGAGCTTATATACAATTTTGGCAAACATTTGATTTTTGATTCTATTTATAGAATCTAAAATTTTTTAAGTGAAAAGATACTTTTACAAATAACACTAGAAATAATGTATTAGAAACAGAATAATAATTGCAAGAAGTTAAACAAGTTCTCCTTAGATATTGGTTAACAAATCAGCATTAGTTTTATAATATAAAAATCTTCCAAAACTACTGATATATTCTTGTCCTAATATTTCATCAAGCTAATTTGATATTTATAAGTGTATCAAAATAGGTTATAATGATACAAAGTCAGAGGATTCAAAATAGTTCTCCACATTTTATGGAAAATCAAGATTTATATATCTTAAAGTAGATTGGTATTAAAGGATACCCAATATTTATAGAAATGTCATCCAATATCCTAGGATTAACATTAAAAAACCACTACCACATAAACTTATCATCATAATTTGACCAAAATGCTATAACTTTTGCGACACAGCTCTTAAATTATTATTCATATATTTTGGATGCTTAAGTAAAATAGATTAGGGATTAGGATATACAAAAAATTAATTTTCATCAATCAAAACTTATTAAATAACTATTGTTAATTTAGGTTAATCAAAAAGTGAATTATAGATAATTATTTCCACCTAATAATCAATATTAGATACTTTGTCATCTTAAATTTAGTTTACAGGATAGATTTTGATTTTATATTCTTTTTGTTTCAAAAGATATATTTCAGACTTAATAGTTGAAATAAAATCTTCAGGGAGTCCTTGCGTTTTGACTTATTTATCGTATGAAATTTAAACATATTGATATTCAAAACTTTAATTCAAAAACGAAATCTTTAAGTTAGTAATAGGAAAACATTTGCTATAAACATTCTATATCTCAGTACAGTTCCAATTTACTTCTATTTGACATATATTTGAGCACCCATCATTATTTAGATTATTACTGTCATCACATTCTTCTTTTTAAGATTTTCTCCCATCACCACATTCTTATATTGAAAACTAATTGTTGATATTATTTTCATCCTATTCCATTTCATCCATTTATGATGAATCATCTGATTCATTTTTACACGAACCATTAACAATTATTTGGTCTTGTTTGCATTATTGTTAGCAAATTCCAAATTCACATTTCACACAACCAATTTAACATTAAAATTAACATTCAAAACAACCATCAAAAGGAACTTCATTTCCGTCATCACATTCTTCTAAGCCTGGTATTACGATATTATCTCCACAAATAGGTTAACATTCATTAAGTCCGATTAATTCAAAATTATCAATGCATTTATAACATAAATTTTAATTGATGCATTATTTACAATAAGGAGAACATTACCAAATGCACTTATCACAGCCATCTTTGTCAATTTAATTACCATCATCACATTATTCTTGAGACCCAAGAGCAATAATTCCATCTCCACATTTAGGGACACAAATATCATCTAAAAGTTACCAGCCTTCTAAGCATGCCAAACACTTTTATTTAATACAAATTTGACATTCCAATTAACAACTCTATTAGCATTTGTAACACTTGTCAAATTAAATATTATTTTTGTCATCGCATTCTTCAGTTTCTTCAATAATACCATCGTTACATGAAGGAGAACAATTCTTTTTATTTCTCTCTAAATGATACCCCTCCATACATTCTGTACAATATTCTTAATATTAAATTTTACAATTATTTACTCTAAAAACGCTACAAATTTAATATTTAAAGCCAAATATTTAATAATTATGAACTAGACAATCTGGAGTAAATATGACAATATTAGAATTTAATTAAGCATATTATTAAAATCCAATATCAATAAAATTTTCTACTTGGTAATAACATCCTCGTTTTTTTTATACATACTAATCTTAATTATATTCACAAGTTAATAAGCAAGAATTATCAATTAACAAATATGATTATTGACATTCAAGACATTTCCCAAGTTTACATGTTTTGCATAAAGAGGGACAAGATAACTTACAAAACTCACATCCATTCAAAACTACATTGATACCATCACATTCTTCGTTGTATGTGATAACAGAGTCTCCACAAATTGGATGACATTTTCTTAAGTGCTCTATATATTCCCAACCTCCTTAACAATCGTAGCATACACCAAAAATGCAATTACTGCAACCTTCGACACAATCGTACATTTTCGAAAAACAGCCATCAAAAGGGTAAATATTTGAATCATCACATGTATTCTTCATGTCAGCAACTAAATTATAAGGAGTTAAGAATAATTAAAAGTCCCTAATTCCAAACCAAGTTTACAGTGACGGGTTTTTTTTATTCATTGCTACGTCAACTGTAATTTTGATTTTCAAGTTAATATGGTTGCGTTCTTGAATAGCGATACATTATGAAGACATATAATCCAAAAAGGTATCCTAAATAAATAACCACCCATCAGTATAACTAGTAGTTGATATCTGAATTAAATACCATTACTCTTATATATATACTAATAGCTTCATGTTAATTTAGAGTAATCTCTTTTGTAATTGAATTTCCTGTGAACTTATGATAAGATATATCTATTTAAAATATAACATTATACCCACAATATTGCCAACTAGTGTGGAAACTATGTCATTAGTAGACCATCCTTCCATAGTATTTATTGTTGATATTGATCGAGAATCAAAAGACTTCATATATAAAAATTAATAAAAACAACCTTTATCATTGCATGAATTACATCCAGCTGGGCATTCATGAATATATAAATTGAAATCTGAAATTCCAAATTTTCCAGAACTTGATAAAAATGATATTGAAACTGTACTGCCATAATGAAACTTTTAAAAATTGATAAGAAAAGATTCATCATATAGGTTGGAAACCTCGCATAAATTAGTTGTACTAGTGGTTGAATAAAAAGAGGCATGTGCTACTAAAGTATCACAATAAACTATGAAATAATTGGAATTCCAATAATCTATCCTATAATTTATAATGTTAGTACGTCCAAAAATTAAATTCTGCTTCAATTTTATAATGTGGCTGGATTTCGTAAGTCTTGAAATACATTGCACTATATTCAACAGGACTTTGATTATGTATAAATAACACATTGGATGCTCCACAAGTTATAATTCTCGAATCATGAGCGTTATTTGAAATAACTTACCAACCTAAATAAATAATTGCATTTTATATTACCATTTATTGTTGTAAATGATTCGCTATGTGTTAATATTTTTGATTAAACTATTGAAAGTATTATGAATAATGTAATTAAAGTAAAACATGTTTGATATTTTGGTGGATTTTGAGGACCAATAATAAAGGGAATCATAAAAACTTTAAATATCTATTATTAATATTAGTGGAAAAATAAAAACCACGATAATATTCAGAAAAATAATAATACATTAAATTCTATAATTAAGTTTTGCTACTTCTGGCTAATATTCTAAGCATAGGATTTTTCTATCAATTCATATTCAAACAATATTTTTTTTTTTATTTTTTTTAATTAATGGAGGTAGGGATTATTAATAATTTAAAACATATGAATTTTGGTTGATACCATCATAGTATCTCAACAAAATTGCTTACTTTAATTACAAGTATTATAATCTATTTTTTAAATATTAATTAATTAAAATTCAACACAATATTAATGTCATTAAGATATTCTAAATTAAAGAAAAAATAATAAAGGATTTATCTTAGTAAAACATGTTCAAAATCCATAAGAGATAATTTTACCAATTCTTATTATTCTTTTATTGTTAACTCTCAAATAGCCATTCTTTGAAATTTTTTAATATTCCTCATGCAATAAACTAAAATGTTAAAAAAAAATATTACAATATTACATTCCAATGCGGTATTTCACATTTATTCCATTATTGAAATCTTCATGATAAGTGTTCAAATTGTTATATAATAATTAATTAAATTATGAGGACTGAATTTTAATTGGATATCACCTTTAAATCCAAACTATTATTTTATTTTGCCATAATTCTTTATCCTTACCCCTTGTTATGGATTGCAGATACATAGTCTTTAACCTAATCAATATTGGTCTATTTGAGTAGATCTGGAGAATTAAAGAATTTATACTGAGAAAAAATTGTTGAGCGTTGATAACTGAATTGGAAAATGAAAAAATGAAAAACACTTACTTTAAAGGCTGAAACAAAAATTATTTTTTACTGCTTACTTTGGAGTATTTTTTGGTTTTAACAATATTATCAAAATTTAAATTTAGAAGTCTCCTTTAACTATAACCAATTACAGAATTTTGATTTACCCTAATGTCCTTTTGTAATTAATTCTCACATATTAAAAGTCATGTGCTTCTGTTATATCTTAAAGCTCATCAGACAGCAACTAATTTTTAACGTGATGTACTTTATTAGAACTGGAGTCTTATCCAAATTCTTTGTTTATAGCTTGTCTTCTAAATCAGGATGAGAAAGTAAAATAAACTCGTATCCTTCATCATAAAATAATTTAATATAATTACTTTAGTATTATCATATTACATAAATAACATCCTAATTTCATAGTACTCAATTAGATATTAAAAACGTCTTATTACCAGAATTCAAATAAAACTATTCCTTTGAGCAGTCATTCAATACAAATCACGTAATCAATAACTTATACTAAAAATATTAACAATTATGGCAAAAATGAGTAAAAAGATTCTTACAAATTAGTTCAAATTAATAATATATTAAATCTATACATTTAATGTAAGAATTATTTAAATATCAATCGATTTTTAAAACTTATTTAAAATTTTAAATAATCTTTTGTTTTTGGATTACTATCTTATAGTTGGAATTATAAAAAATAAGAATCTAGAAAGAAAAATTCATCAGTAAAAATTAATAGTTACACAAGTTAAGAAAATTAGTAAAACATCTATGTTATTTATTAAATAAAGAAACAGAAAAATTGAATCTGATACATTAAATTAGAAATCTCATTTGAAGACAGAATAAAGCAGCCTTTTAATTTAAGTGGTAAAGAGATAGAAATTGTTTCAGAATTTTAATCAATTTGTAAAATATTTGGAAATGATAATTATTGATGAGTTAAAGAAATTAATACACTATTTCACAATAAATAAAATGATCATAAAATTTTATTAAGATAGAAATTTAGCAATCATTTAATACCTCATTTAGCTGGAATCAATTCTATGGATGTATCACCCTTTTTTAAAACACTCTAGATTCTCAGATAGAGGAAAATGATTTCTTAATTAAGATTGTCATTTAATTAAAAGTATACCTTTTCAATATTTCCCTAAATTATAATTAATGAAAATGTAAAATTTGTCGAATGCTATATTTTTATGTATATATTGAATAATACAAAAAAAGTTTAAGAAAGATATAATCATGAAAAAATTTAAGATTTTCTCAGAATTTTTATTTTGCCTATAGTTGCAGCACTGCTTAAAAGTCAGAAGTGATATTTTGAAGCTGTATCAACTTCAATCTCAAATCCTCATAACTCAGCATCGAGATTAACTCATACTCCAGTATTCTGGTAAAAATTAACATTTAGACTTATCATTAAAGAATAAATAATTATAGATTGTATCAATCTATATTGATTTCCTGTCATAACCTCTAACCCAATCAATCATAGCACTTCATTTTTTTAGACAACATCAATACTCTACAATTGCTTTTTTTTCATATTTTTTCACACCCTCATTAATGCATCAATCATTATGATTAATTCCTCTTCCTTTTCTTCTCCTTTTATCGTATTCCATTACTAAAATTCAATATTATTTCATCTGTATCTTCAAAATTATTTTCGTTATTTAGAGTTAATAATTTCATAATTAATTTTTTTCAAAGAAAATGTTCTTCTTTCTTATTCTCCTTGAATTTTCAATATAGAATACATGCACTAAAAATTATTTTAGAGATAGATCAATTTTAAGGGGAATTTACAAAGATGTAGCTTCGGACTCAAATGGTGGTTTCATGGCAAATCCCAGTGATATTGCTTTTTTAATTATGGAGAGTTCTCAAGCCCTTTAGGAGATAAAATTTATCCAAATTAATCCGATATATATTTGGGTTATTGAAGTTGTAGACGTTATTAATCAATGAATGTTAAATTTCGATAAATATATGAGATTAATACAATAAGGATTCGATTTTGGGATTAAGACCCACGAATAAATTATTTTAAAATTTTCGCCACTAACAAGGAGGATAGCGATGAGGTGCAAATAGAAGATGGTAATGTCATAGGATTAGTAACAATATAATTTTCTGCCCGATTGGTTTCAAAAATTCGAATATATTCACTGGGTAATAATTCACCGGATCATATCTAAGATGGGTACACTTCAATCATAAAAGTTTAAGCCTATTCTTTATGCCATCAGAAAAATGGAAATAGATGATTTGAATAATAAATTCAAATATAGACTCATTAATAATTGAAATACTTATAATTAATAGGGTCTAAATGTCTGAATTTTGTATTTCATATAATATTTGATTAGGTTTATAATTAGAATATTTGGAAATATTTGAAAATAAGATGATAAAATTTAATCCAAAAAAAATGCTCGAATGCATGCAAATGAAATTAAAATTACAAGGATTGCGCTGAATATCACTGTTTTATAATTTATAATAATGACGATATAACATTCGAATTAAATTATCAAAATTGATTTTTGGTAAATATCTAATAAATATTTTTTTAAATTATCTTCACCCTATTACTCTTTTTATGTATAGAAATTCCATAATTAATTTGAATTTGACTATCAGATATTATTCCTAAGTCTCATTTTTCCTTAGGCTCAATTATCTTGCATTCAAGACGAATTTAACCAACAAATCTATTTGATAAATATACTAATGTATTATTATTGATTTAGGGAGATTAAGGCATAAAGTTTTGGAATTACATTGAATTGAATTATAGGATTTGGTATCATTCATGAGTCCCTTACACTGGTCAATAAATTCTCTAAATATTGTATAATAATAAAAGTATCATGGACTCCAGATATTTAATACACACTTGGCACTTTACTATTTTTATTATCTCTCAATATTATGGAAATTGATAGAATTACATATTATTATCCTCTTACTAACCTTTGACTATTAAAATTGCGAATTCAATAACATCTATATTTTTGTCATTTTCTAACTCTAAGTAATTTGCAATTTTCTGACATTTAAAGGTATCAGTCTGTTGAAAAGTCTCATTAAAACGTATTATTTATATCATTTCAGATTATATCATATTGTGTCTCTCTTTAACAAAGTACATGTAGGTAATTAAAATAATAGGAGGATAGATGCTTTGGTATTGTCATTGATTCATCTGTTTAAATGGGTTTGAAAGATGAAAGTAAGGAGCTGAATATATTGCTTGCAGAGGTTAAACTCAAGAACGTACCCCTCTTGATATTTGCGAATGATAGAGGCCTGGTACAAGCCCTTCCTACTGATGAGGTTAGTATTCCATCTATTTAAGATCTTAGATAGTTTGAAATTAAATAAAATCACTGATAGACAATGGTCTATCTGCCCATGTTCAGCGGAAACTTTAGAAAGATTGCAAGAAGGAATGGAATGGTTCATTAAGACTGTTTAAGATAAATGAATCTTAAATATTAAATATATTAAGCATCTGCATTCAAAAATGAAACCCATATCACATGTCTCATTCTAAGTGCCCAATCCCAATTTTACAATCAAATGTCTACTTCTGATACCAATCATTTCTGTTCTGTTTAATCTCAAATCTTTATTGCTCCAATTAACTTATCATTCACTAAGAATATGTTGAAGAATAAATCAAACTCCAACTAGATGCCTTCATTAATCAACTATAGATGTACTAGACATAAATAGAAATTCCCTTCTTGACTAATTATTAAAGTTAAATCAGAAAAAGTCATTCAATTATCTTACAACAATTAAGAATTCTATCATAATAATTGTTCTAATTTCCTAGAATAAATTATTCATAACAAATAATTTAAGTNTTGAAATATTTATAGCAATTAATAGGGTCTAAATGTCTGAATTTTTATTTCATATAATATTTGATTAGGTTTATAATTAGAATATTTGGAAATATTTGAAAATAAGATGATAATTTAATCCAAATAAAATGCTCGAATGTATGCCAATCAAATTAAAATTACAAGGATTGAGCTGAATATCACTGTTATATAATTTATAATAATGACGATTATAACATTCGAATTAAATTATCAAAATTGATTTTTGGTAAATATCTAATAAATATTTTTTTAAATTATCTTCACCCTATTACTCTTTTTATGTATAGAAATTCCATAATTAATTTGAATTTGACTATCAGATATTATTCCTAAGTCTCATTTTTCCTTAGGCTCAATTATCTTGCATTCAAGACGAATTTAACCAACAAATCTATTTGATAAATATACTAATGTATTATTATTGATTTAGGGAGATTAAGGCATAAAGTTTTGGAATTACATTGAATTGAATTATAGGATTTGGTATCATTCATGAGTCCCTTACACTGGTCAATAAATTCTCTAAATATTTTATAATAATAAAAGCATCATGGACTCCAGATATTTAATACACACTTGGCACTTTACTATTTTTATTATCTCTCAATATTATGGAAATTGATAGAATTACATATTATTATCCTCTTACTAACCTTTGACTATTAAAATTGCGAATTCAATAACATCTATATTTTTGTCATTTTCTAACTCTAAGTAATTTGCAATTTTCTGACATTTAAAGGTATCAGTCTGTTGAAAAGTCTCATTAAAACGTATTATTTATATCATTTCAGATTATATCATATTGTGTCTCTCTTTAACAAAGTACATGTAGGTAATTAAAATAATAGGAGGATAGATGCTTTGGTATTGTCATTGATTCATCTGTTTAAATGGGTTTGAAAGATGAAAGTAAGGAGCTGAATATATTGCTTGCAGAGGTTAAACTCAAGAACGTACCCCTCTTGATATTTGCGAATGATAGAGGCCTGGTACAAGCCCTTCCTACTGATGAGGTTAGTATTCCATCTATTTAAGATCTTAGATAGTTTGAAATTAAATAAAATCACTGATAGACAATGGTCTATCTGCCCATGTTCAGCGGAAACTTTAGAAAGATTGCAAGAAGGAATGGAATGGTTCATTAAGACTGTTTAAGATAAATGAATCTTAAATATTAAATATATTAAGCATCTGCATTCAAAAATGAAACCCATATCACATGTCTCATTCTAAGTGCCCAATCCCAATTTTACAATCAAATGTCTACTTCTGATACCAATCATTTCTGTTCAGTTTAATCTCAAATCTTTATTGCTCCAATTAACTTATCATTCACTAAGAATATGTTGAAGAATAAATCAAACTCCAACTAGATGCCTTCATTAATCAACTATAGATGTACTAGACATAAATAGAAATTCCCTTCTTGACTAATTATTAAAGTTAAATCAGAAAAAGTCATTCAATTATCTTATAATATGAAGAAAAAGTGTACTATTCTAACTTTTTAGACTATCTACAGGTCCATAAGTGCGAATTAATTTCTATTTTAAAAGACAAATATCTAAATCTCCTAATTTTTTTCTAATGCAGAACTTAAAGATATAGTTTTATATTTACCTTGATTTAATCACTTTAGATCGTTAAATGAATCAAAATTGAACTAGTCTAAGTCTCTTTTTTGAAAAAAACCTCATTTACTGTGAGATTATTGTGAACAAATAGAATAAAGATGGATGAATTGCATTTGAAGCCATTTCTCTCAAAATACAAATATATACTCTCGCATTAATCAAGAATTAGCAAAAATAAACGACACTCCTTAAAAAAATACTGACTATAAGAGAATTATCGATACTGAAAACTTCATTTCATTAAAATATTTCTGTAAAGAACCACTTAAAAAGGCAAGGACTCTTTTAAAGGTCTAATGATTTCAGAGATCGCTAAGTTGTTTTATTTCATGCTGATTAAGGCGCCTCATAAAACTAAACTGCCATTTACAAAGCCTAAATTAGTAGCCAATATGGAGTAACGGATCTGCAAATAGGTGCATACAAATTATGATAAAATTATAACACTGACCAATAGGATTTTATGCTGCAGCCTTCCTTTTACATTTGGGAAGTGTATTACAGGCATATTCTTATTATCCAATTCTCGCTTTACCAAGAAAATCTAGAGGACTAGTGGATCTTATTCTTCTTATTCTATATTTGCTGTAGAACTCCTGGGGTTTGAAGATTTGATGCATGAAAGTTCTGTATGTCTTAATTTGGTTTTATATATCTTTTTTAACATTAAGCGAAACAAACACTTTCTAATCTATGAAATGTACTTAGTTGGTTTATTGACACTTGAAACCCTTAAATTAAATCAGTATAATTTCTAATTTGTATTAAATTTCAAAGCTCGAACATTATATGCACATAATTATAGAATAGTTGCTATGTTGTAAGGTTTATTGTCAATTAATTCAGAATAGACTAACTTAAAATACTTTGTATTGTGATAACGTTTCCACAAGTTGTTAAAAGTCCATACTTGTGTTCAAATAATTATTATAATAATGTAAATACTTACAGTCTTTATAGCGTATTCTGCAATATTAGTAGGACCTTTCCTACTTGAAAATTGAATTTCTGAATCTATCTTGGATGATGATAATCTGTCTTCAAAATGTTCAGGTTGTGTGTTTACAAGTTTGAACTTCAATTCTTAAACATCTTTCTACTTTTTATAGTAAATAACACTACATCATAAAAGAGTATGTCGACCATGCAATGCAGCTTGCTTAAACTATAGTGTTCATGTTATTGATATAGCGATCCTCTATTCCTTTAAAACTATTCTTCTTTTTAAATTGTAGCGCTTTGAGTGCTTTACTATAAAATTTGATGCCACAAATTACTACTCAATGGCAATCCTTTTATTCCTTACCGATATATACTTCACAGCACTTTTATCATTAATTTTTAAAATATTATGGGGTGCTTTGACTGATATTTTTATACAGTTATCTCAGCAACCCTAATTGAATTGTTCTAGATGTTTCTTTAATAGCACCTTTTAAATGTGTTTATTTCAGTCTAATAAATTAACTGCTCTTTGAAATTCTTATCATCCTTATACTATTGAATTTAGAATTGCTACTTTTCAACATTTGGATAAATTTTCAGACTATGTAAACCTTCTTCCTATATATATGAGACTAAATAGACTGATATTTTCAGTTGTAAAGAATTAAAATTTACGCCACTTTGAAGGTGTCTAATTCAACTTGTGAAAAATTGCTCAGTAAGTGTTTGAAGTAGAAATCTGCATGCCCTGTAGGAGCTTAAGATAATTTAATTTGACTCTACAATATCATTTTAATTATTGGCTCTATAGTAGTTTTGGAACTTTCTTAGAGAATCACACCGTTAAGAATTAGTTAGAGAGTTTATTTCTACATGTACTTGCAATAATTGCTCAAGTGTTGTTTTAAATACCTAAAACTTATAAAACTTAATTAAGAAGTATTAACCGCTTTTATGATGAAATGCATACCAGAGGCCATTCGTGTGAGTCAGCAAAAGAATTTTTCAACATATTTCTGAATATATTATAACACCTCCAGAAATCTTTGTATTTTGTACTTAATGTAGAGGCATTAAATTCAGGAATTCTCCGAGAAATGTAATTATATAAACATTTTTTTTTTAGATCTTAACAAAAATAATTAATTGAGGTGCCTCCATAATCGTCAGCGATTCTTATTTTAAACTACTTCAAGATTTATTTTAGACTCTTTAATCTAAAAAAATCTTGATCATAGAACTAACTATAATCTTTAAAAACACATTGTAAATAATTTTTAGAATTTAAAGTTTGGTATACAAAAACTTTGGCAATAGATATAATATTTAAATTAAAAAACTATCAAATAAGAAAAGTTCTAGCTGAATAAAATAAAGTCTATTCTCTACATTTGTAATAGGTATTTAAAGATATGATCAGGAAGTCAAATTACTGTTATATGATAT